TGGAGGCTCTTGGAAGCTAGCAAATTTTATGGCATCCCAACTGAGTGCTTAGTCACACTGATGGGATAAGGGCTGGACCCCATTCAAGTCAGTTGGGGTCTTTTTCCTAGTAATCTCGAATGGACTAGAAAAACATTTTTTTCATGTGATAGATATCTTCAGTTCTGTCAAAGGAAAATGTAAGAAGTGGCTTGTTACATAGGAAATTTAATTGGAGAGCACTTTGCTCTTGATGATAGAAAAAGGAGGAGCAGCACAGTGATAAGGGAAAAGTTATGCTTGAAAAGTTAAATCAAGAGACTCCTTTCAAGTTCACTGTGGTATCAGCTGGTTAAGGTCAGGCTGTGTTGGTTTCCGCCCAGCTAAGCAGTCCCTGAGCTACGTGTAGCCCTCCTGCCTTGTGGTTTCTGTACTCAGGGATGGTGAAAAACAACTTAGGGAGGACATCCAGACTTGTGTTTTGAATAGCTTGAAATGTTCTTATGATATACATATATAAGTAGAGATATCAGATAGGCATTGAATGTGGGCCTTTGAGACTATTTTGAATGAAAATATAAATTTGGACTTAACCTCATTAGGGCAAATCTAAAATTCTACCACTTAACTTTCCTTTCCTACATTGAGCCTCTAGTTTTTATTATGTGATTTTTTTATAATAAGTTTCTTCTGGAACAAACTTTTGCATTGCTAGTGCAATACTGTACCAGTTTACCAAATGTACCAATTTATCTTCTTCATGGAAATGTATGACAGTTCTTATTTCTGTGCATCATTAACACTATTATTCTAAAAATCTTTGCTAATTTTATACATAAAGAATAATGGAACAATCTGTACTTCTGTGATTGTTAATATTGAACACTTTTCATTTGTATTTCTTCTTTACCAAATTGCCTCTTCTTGGGATTTTCTCTTAGGAATTCAATTTTTAAGTTAATTACTTGTGAAAGTTTTTTTTTTTTTCCCACATAGCAAGACCATTGTTCCTATAAATGCCATTTATGTTAAACCATTTTTTCCCAGCTGTCATTTTACTTTTAATTAAATTTTTTTTATTGTTGTTGCTTTAAACTGATATTTGACATTTTTTGTAGTTCAACCAATCATCCTATTATTTTCCTTTGGGATTTAAAAATAAAGTTATACACCAAATATTATTTTAATATTTACTTGTTTTCTAGTATATTAATGATTTCTTTGAAATATTTAGTGCAACTCAGATTTACTTTCATAGATAGATGAGACCAAATTCTATTCATTTTTTCTAAGTAGCTAAACATCATTCTAGCACAATATGGTTCTGTTATGCATGTTTGTTCTTGCTAGCAATTTAGGTCACTTACTTACATAGAGAAAATAACATACCTAAATAGTTTAACATGAATATGCCTCTAAAGGGATTACAATATTTAGTGATGATTTGGAAAAGGTGTACTCTCTAGTCTTTGAGAGTAAAAATAAAGCCACTTAACTTTATTCTTCCTTGACTGTTTAACTGCTATTTCTACCTTCTCTTAGTAGGAGATCAGCCTCCCAGAGGCCATAGTGAGAAACCACTGGTCAATGTCCTATAGTCTTAGCTTTCCAACATCTCTAACTTAACCCTTTCCCTTCCTGTTCCCTCTGTTGGTACAAGATGAGACCAAGCACATATCTTTAAAACTCTAAGTTGCTTCTTATGAATTACTCCTCTGTGGGAAGCAAAATTTGGAAACAAGAACAGTAGATCCATTTCTCATTTCTTTGGAACATGTTCTATTAAAATATTTTTTATTTTATGCATTTTTTTCTTTATAGTGTCCCTATAAATCTAGAACAAAAAATCATTAATCTTCTTGTAATGGGTTAAATATTTATAGTTCTATTTTATTAAAGTAGCATAGCCCAGAAGTAAATGTAATTATTTATTCATTATATCTATGACTACCTCTCTTTGTATAGCTAGCAATTAAAAAATAGCAAAATCTGGTTAGCAATAAGGGAATCCTGTACAGTGTTTTACAGAGAACACTGGGCAAATAAGCATTTGTAGTTCATAGATACCATGAAGATAATGTTTATAAAATAATATTTTCTTTTCCTTTCATAGTCTTGGATTCAGAGAATGATGGCTTTCAAAGTGATTATTGTCCATTACAAATCTGATGATATCTTCTTCAGGTGAATGTTTTCTATTCCATCCTTTTCACTTTTTTTCCCCTTTGTAACCTTTGTTAATTTACCCACCAATTAACAATTCACTGAAATGTGGATTCTCTCTCTCTCTCTCTCTCTCTCTTTTATTTGTCATTTTACATCTTTTCTACAATGGGAGTTTATCAACTCAAAGTATTTGAAAAGAGAAAAAAACAACAAAAAGATAATTCACTAACTGTTCCAGAATATATTATCATTCTATCTCTAGGCACTTGCTGTAAAGAATGAGCAGAAAAAGCAAAATTTCATGTTACATTAGGAAGCAAGATCAAGAGAGACTTGGAGCTCTTTGTGGTCTATTTTTTTTTAATAGTTTAGAGCAAGGGTCTTATGCTGAGGTCCAGAAGTGACTTTGTGATGTGGAAGGAAGGAAAAGCATGGGTTTCTAAGTATTTTAAAACCCACTGCAAAATTTGGCTACATCTGATTATTTTTTGGAGCGGGAAGGAGTTTTGTAGCTTTGATCATGTATTCACAGGCATCTGTGACCACAAAATAGTGAAGAACCACTAATACAGAGTAACTAGAGTTATAATAAATAGACATATGCTCTTTTGAGTCCTGTAAGGAAATTAAATTTAAACAAGATATTTCTTTTCCTTTTTTTCCTTTGGCTTAATCCCCACTTTGATGAATTTAATATCATTAGAGGATTTTTTTTTTTTCTGAAACTTAACAGAAATGAACAACTTAGAAAATACTTTGAGCTCCCTGGACTCGTGAGTCAGCTGAAGGGTGCTAGAAGTACTCAGTACAATCTTTCAGAAAAGGAGGGGATAAGGCAGCAATCAGCAAAGTGGAGAAGTACTTTTCTTTCTCTGAGCCTGTGCCCTGCCTCACCAGCTGCTGTTGTCATTCTGGAGGCTGAGAAGCCCAACAGATTTAGCATAAAGAAGGTTAACTGCCAAGCATCATGGAAAAAACAGAATCCTTGCAGGATGTTCAAATCCCCTACCTAAGTCGGCGAGAGGAGGGCATACAGTAGGAGCATGAGCCAACAAAAAATACGAGCTGAATTCCCAGAAGGTCCAATGCCTAGTGCACACTTCATCTCTCAACACCTGTTTTTATGAACACTTCAGAGAGAAATGTGGAAAGCACTCATAATTCACCCTGCAAATTCTGCCACAACCATGACATTCTGGCAGAAGCAGAAAGGGGAAATGAACTCCCCAGTGGGCATTCAGCTTAGGGGTTAAGTTTGATGATCATCGTATATCTCCTGTCACCTGTTTACCCATTCTATTATAGGACTCATGGACTTATACATAAATCTTGGAATCCATTTTTAATCTTCTTCAAAAATACATGGGTCATCAGTTCAAGTATATTTCAGCTCTTTCCTGTGAAATTTATTTCTAAATTGTTTACTTTCTTTCCATAAATGTTTTCAAATATTGTAAGTCCTGAACATCAGTTGTAGATGTATTTCTCAAATTTATATCCCTCTTTCTTTGGCTCTCATGATGACCTTTGGGAACTTTCAGATTAAAATCCAATCAATATCTCAATATCACAAATCAATATCACTAAGAGATCACAGGATAGGTAACTATTTTAAGCTTTCTCAATATTTAGCAAATGCAGAGTAGTTTATACAGATTATCTTTGCAAAGAAAAGTATTTTGTATTTAGAGAAGCTTATGGGAGAAGAGGTAATGTATTACTTGGGTCCATATTTTAATAAAGAGGATTTTAATGTAAATTCTGGATTTCAATTAAAATATGTCAAAAGAAGTTTGTTAGAATGATTATTAGGTGCTAAACAAACACAGCCTCCATGGAGGAAGACCAAGATCCTCAGAGCAAAGAAGAATCTGCTGCTTCTGTCTAACTTTGATTCTAGTTATTTAGGGGTTTTGACAGATCCTGTGATATTAGACAAAACAAAACATTGGGATTGGCTTTGTTCTCTAATATGATTTTTTTTCCAGATGAAAGAACTAAAGTAAACCACAAGGCTAAATAGTGGGCAAAGGATTTGTAAAATTCTGAATTTAGGTGTAGCTATGGAAAAAGCTGACTTCAGGTTAATCGCACAAAAGATTGAATGATGTTTCTCTATGATTCTACAGCCACATGACAACTTCAGAATTTTTTTCTCCTCCTCCTCCTCCTCCTCCTCCTCCTCCTCCTCCCCTTCTTCTTCTCCTCCTCCTCCTCCTTCTTCTTCTTCTTCTCCTCCTCCTCCTCCTCCTCCTCCTCCTCCTCCTCCTCCTCCTCCTCCTTCTTCTTCTTCTTCTTCTCTGACATGCTAGACATAGACTCACTAAGCTAGCCTTGAACTTTGATCCTCTTGCCTCAGGTTCCTGAGTTACTGGGACTACAGGCAAGCACCACTTCACCAGGCTCCTTCAGTGTTTTTATAAACAATTCACTTGTGTCTTTTTTTCTCATTTTAAAGTACAGATTCTGCCTGCAAATTGACTAGTTATAATTATGGCAAAAAAAAAAAAAAAAAAAAAAAACCCACACAACACATTGATCTTGCTATTATAAGGAGAAAATGTGGAAGTAGTATCTAGAAACATCATCTTGGTATATAAAAGATATCATTATTATCACAGGGGAAAAGATGGTAGCAATATTGGGCCAGCATAGTAATATTACATGTATATGTCATCTTTTGTTCTGTATTTGCCTTCGAGAGTAAGCAAATGAATTTCTCAATATCTCACCTCAAGCTTCTTAGGTTATTACATTGAAGGCAAAATGCTTTTGCAAATAAGATATTTAAGATTTTTTAATGTATTTAGAGAACAAAGTTAATGGTTTTTATAGAATCTATAATAGACAAGAAGGAAGAGATCAAACTATTTTATTGTTTTAGCTAAAATGAAACAAAATTAGAGAAAGATACAAATCACTAAATTGCAATTGTAAAATAATTCCACAAAATAAAGTTGAATTGAAGCATAAATTTCTGCGTACAGATTACATATTTGCAGGCTTACAGATTTTTATCTGAGGCTTTAGGACCTAAAATTAATATTGTTTTAGTTCTACAGATTAAATGTTGCAGGCATGATATCTTGTTAATATTGAAATAAACTTGTTTCCTAAAAATCATTATTTTACTGGATTATGTCAGCTGCAGGTCCTCTCTTGAGAAAGGATAACCTCCTTCTTAAGCCAATCAGAATGAAGCTCTCACAATCCTGCCCTTCAGAGGCTGGGGTGGTCGGTTGTTGTGCTGTATAGGGACAGGGTTTTCTCCTTCAGCATTTGAAAGAAGACTGCGGAACTGTGCCAGCTGGAAGGATGAAATATAAAAGAATCAAAAGCAAGCAAGTCACACAAAGCACTTTCCTTCCATATAATGAACATACTGTATTTTAGAAAACTGAGTTGAGGATTGCAATATTTTCACCATTGGGAATTGAGGAAGACCAAGATCCATTATGGTCCTTTAAACTAGGTATTTTGCTTAAGTTATCATTGATTGGGTTACAGAACACCAACTTTCTCACTTGTCAACTGGGGGACTTTGGGCAAATGACATATACTTGGTGCCTCACTTTTAATATAGTACCTACTTCATTGGGTTGCTGTAAAGATTAAATGGGCCCATACATGGATAGTACCTAAATGTGCTCAATACTAGAGTACCTACTATGTGCTTGATAAATGTCAGAGAGCAATAGATACGGGGCTTGTCCTGCATGTGTATTATGAGAATTGTCTGACAAAACACATGCAAGACACCTAATAAAAATATTGTTCAATCAATGATAATTCTTATCATCATCATTGTAAAAAACAATTAAAGAAACATTTTTAATATTTAAAAACTTGAGAGTAGTGGGAGTTCTGAATTCCACGTTTTCTATTTTATGCACAAAGTAAAAACAGTATAATAAACATGCTTTTTTTGGATAATTCAGAAGAGCTATGCCAGAAATGAATCTTTTTCAGTTGGAAAAGAAAATAAACTCCTCAGAAACCTGATTGAAATTATAATAGCTCCAGCTGGCACTGTCAATTGAAGAGATAGTTCTGCTTTGCACTCCCCATTCCCACTCATTCACTCGGATATGCTACCTGTTCTGGGCTGATGCTGATGGTCTCTCTACAGATGAGCCAGGTTACACTCTCATGGAGAGGAGGATGAGTCAGAGAGCCAGCATAGGTCCAGTAATCCAGGGAGGAGGGAAGGAGAGTGGAGGGGTCAAAATTTGTAAACGGGGCTCGTTTGCCCTGGGAAAAAAAGGAAAAACCTGTATCATTATTTTGTGATATAAAATAGTTATATCAATGTTACACATATATACTATTTACCTAAATCTAGAGATTTTAGTTAAGAGTTGAATTGACTTTCTATATATTATTTCCTGACTGGTATGTTTGTGGATATACAAACTAAAAACAATGGGAAAGGCAGAAGATGAACTATATAGGTGTTTTAACTAAGAAATTTTTCATCTTCATTTGGTTGAGGATAAACAAAAGTTCAAAAAATTTTTACAATCTATGATCATCAAAAAATATTCAATTTCCAATATAAAGCATTTCTGTGTCTCTAGAAATGATGCTAGATTTTGTTCTAGAGACAGAGATATTTATTGACATGCAAATTGGTAATATATTAGTCTTCTCCCAGTTTCTTTTTGGTTGGTTTTTATTTGTATGTGAAATAAACTGATATTTATACGCTAACCTTTTATGTATAGGCATTTTTGCCAGACTTTTATATCTGTTCTGTTTTTTAGCTGATTCTTTTGAATTTTCAGGGTAAATGTCAATTATTATATTATTTTGTCCATAATAATAGTTTTATATTTGCTTTCCCAATATTCATCCCAATATTTGCCCTTATTTCTTTACTATTATATTTATTCAGACTTTTAATTATGATGTTTAATTGTGATGGTCACAGTTGGCACCCTGTGACCATCACAATTAAACATCATAATTAAAATTAAAATCTTTCTTCATTGAAGTAGAATGCTTCAATTGTTTTAAAATTAAGTTTGATGTTTGATTCTAGTTTCTAGGTAATAATCCTTTTTAAAGTTTTTATTAGTACATCATAATTATATGTAATAGTGAACAATATTCTTCATCAAATTCTAAAAGTTTTCATTTATTTTGTTTTGTCCTCAAGAATGGGTATGGAACTGGGTATCGTGGCAAATGCCTGTAATTCCAGCGGCTTGGGAGGCAGACGCAGGAGAATCATGAGTTCAAAGTCAGCCTCAGCAATTTAGTGAGGCCCTAAGCAACTTGGCAAAATCCTGCCTCTAAAAATATATATATATATATAAAAATACTGGGGATGTGGCTCAGTGGTTGAGTGCCCCTGGGTTCAATCCCTGGTACCAAAAAAAATAAAAAAATTCAATACCCATTCTTTTTAATTCTTCTTTTTTTTAATCTAATGCTCTTCAAGCATGTAACAAGTTGGTGATATAATTTCCATCTTTAATTTGTTTATATAATGAATTATATTTAGAGATTTTCTAATATTAATCACATTTTTAGGATAAACTCTACTAGTTCAGAAACATTACTCTCTTGATACAATGTTGAAGTTGATTTGCTATAACTAATTTTAAGATTTCTTTTACCTATATTCCTAAGAAAGATTAGCTTACAGTTTTCTTTTTGCATTATTCTTATCTGGTTTTGGTATTAAGTGTAATTAAATTGATGGGGCGTATTTTCTCTGTTTCCTCACCTAGGCAACTGATACATGATTATTTCTTAAAGGCTGAGGAATATTTTTTTCCCTAAAATGATCTAGGCTCAGAATCTTCTTTTAATGAATTTTTTTTGACAATCTCTTTGATTTATTTTTAGGCTTTTGGTCTACGTAGGTTTTCTAGCACCCTTTGAGTTAGTTCTCTTCATTTTTTCACAGATCATCCATTTTATATGAATTTTCAAATTTACTGGCATGATGTCATAATTTTTTTCTTTTATATCTTCAGTTATAGCCTCTTTTTTTATTTCTAATAATATTTTGTAATGTGCCAATTTTCCACTACCAAATTTGCCAAAATATACTATTTTTTTTGGTTATTCTAAATCATCAACTTTTCCTTTATTGATGAAAATTTATTTTCTATTTAGTTATCACTTTTCTTCATTATTTTATTATTTTGAATTTTTATATTTATTCATTATGCCCTTATATTTTCTTTTCATATTTTAAAATATATCTTGGGTATTTTTAAATATTCTTTTTTTTCTCTTTATAATATACTTATTTAGCTTTAATCTTTTTTGGAATTAGCACAAAACATACTTATTTTATATAAAAATATCACAGTTCTCCAAGAAATCTCTGACTCCGTGGTTTGTTTGCTGTAAAAGTGGGAAAGCTAAGGATGGATATTTCAAAAAACCCATTTTTTTTAAAGTTTTGTTGGGAATCATGATTATCAAACATTGCCCATTAATGGTATCTCAAAAGTATACTCTTTGTGTCTAAGTTTTTGTACTTCTGAAAAAAATATAGATATGTTTCATGAAGTAGAAAAACATTTACATTTCATTTGGGTTTAGTTTTTCAAGCAAATTTGGTTGACTCCATAGGCTTCATCCTGCTAAGACAATAATATGAAAATGAAACAAAACAAATCCTTGCACTGGGGTTTTTCTTAGACACAGACAATTTGTAAGTAGGACTTTGATTTTCAAATTAGCTTTTACACCAGTCTTCCTACTCCCACTTCAATAAGCAATTAAATGATTTTTTTACTTCCCTGGATTCTTGTTCTCAGAATTTAACTTAGTTTATTTACCTTGGTTTTAACTGCATTTAGAGCCTCAAGTATTTTCTGGAGCTTTGGGTTGGCCTGACCAACCTGGAGATTAAAAAAAAAAGTGATAAAGATTATAATCATGAGAATATTGTTGAGCTAAATCAATCCTTCTCCTCCCTCCCTCCCTTCTTCCCTTCTTTCCTTCCTTTCTTTATTTAATGTACTACAGTAAATGAAGAGAGGTTTGGTACTTTTCTCTCTGCTCTAGGGGAAGAAATTTTGTTAGTGTTTGTCTTTGTAGGCCCTTGTACTCTATAGATCATTCATCAGGTATACTGGCAGATAAAGTAGCAAACAGATCTTGTTTTAAATTAAATTATGAGCAAGATAATCAAAGCTACACAAGACAAAGTGGATATTTAGCAAAACTGTGATATGAAAACCAAACTTTTATTTTTGACCTGTTCTGTTTGTTATGATTGGCATGTCTTTGGCATACTCTGAGTGCTCAATCAAGGTTAACTTGAATTATATATTTAATTTCAAAGTCATAAAACTTTCCAGAATAGAGGATTTGAGCAACATTCACTACTTTAATAATCAATTGAACTTTCTAGGGAAAATTCTCTTAATATTTCCTTCCTGATGAGATAGTAAATAAATAATCCCTGTCTATGAGGTAGGAAGTTTAGAGAACAGGTAATTTGGTATAAGGAGCCTGCTTATCTGTAGTTATAAGTAGAATAGAAATGTTCTAAAAAGAAGAACTCAAGTATCTTTTGCCTTCTGTCATCCTGTTCTGAAGTCTGATTGGTAAGAAATAGCATTAGCAGAGCAGGGTGACTACCTGTAACTCACCTTCATCAGAATACCAATAATCGCCAAACCATCAGCCTTGGAGATTGCTTCTGCAATGCTAGGATACTTTGCAGAATTCCAGTGAACAATGTGACACTAAAAACGACAATGTGGTTAGTTATTTATACAAAGGTAAAAGCAAAAAGTAAGTTGCAAGTCAACTTGACCATATATGATAATGTGTTCAGACAGACAAAATGCATGGGAACTTTTATCCAGTGGGTAGGAAGGTCTACATTCCACTCTTAGGAAGAGTGTACTGATGACAACTCCTAGGACCAATAGGTAAGATTTATTTTCCTACAATATCATCAACTATTCAATGTTAGTCCTTTAACAAAAAAATCTCTCTCTGGCATGAAAAGATCAGGAAATCTGATTGACTAGCTCTAGGACAAAAACTGAAGTAATTTCCCTTCACATGAGGTAATTTGCGGTAACTTTGTGAGAAGGGCTGCCTGGCTTGCCTGGGAGCCATGGCCAATGACAGAATCTCTTGGGCACATCAGAACTCTTGATTCCTCCTTGCCAAACCTGCCTCATTTTTCCCTTCGTAGGAAAAGGTAATACTACCCTCTAATTAATCAAAAAGTACCACAGTTATCATCAACTTCTTATTTTCTACGTCATATCTCACAGAGGATATCTCTTCACTTGATCATAACTTTGAGTCTTTGCATTGGCTGTTGATTTTCTCTGGGATTTCTTTCCTTATGATCTTTGTATAGCAGACATTTGTCTTGAGTTAAGGCTGAATTCAAATACTACTCCTCAGGGAATCCTTTTTTGATTATCCAATATAAAATGACCATAAATCATTTCTCGAAATATTGCTTATCTAATCTCTCTTTTTCCTTTGCTTCCTTCCTTTTAACATTTTTCTTTATCAAAATGAAAGCTCTGATAGCAAGTATTTGCTGAAAATAATATCTTGTGTATGGCAAGTGTGCTCGCTTGTTCTCTCTCTCTCTCTCTCTCTCTCTCTCTCTCTCTCGTGTGTGTGTGTGTGTGTATGTTCTTTAAAAACTTATTTATTTATTTATTTATTTTTGGTACTAGGGATTGAACCCTGGGGAATTTTTATCACTGAGCTACATACCCAGCCCATTTTATCATTTTATTTTTTACTTTGAGACAGGGTCTCACTAAATTACTTAAGACCTTTCTAAGTTGCTGAGACTGGCCTTGAACTTTCGATCTTCCTGCCTCAGCCTCCATAGTCACTGGGATTGCAGGCCTGTGCTACCATGTCCAGATCAATAACAATTTGTTGAAAGAAAAAAGAATAATTAGTACAATATATCAAGAGAGGTCACTTCCCAGTCATACTCGAAGTGTCATCTCATTACTTATTAGAGTTTTCTTTGGTGCTGCCAGTCTAGATTCTGTCTCTACCCTTGATTATTCTTACATCTATATCCCCAGAGTGCTTTCTGAATATTCACACTGGTATTTACTACTACGTTTGTTTAATCATAATCACTTATGCATATCTGTCTTGGTTGAGGAGTACTTGCTTGTGTCTTATCTGCAAAAATGTAACACTGCTGAGCACTTCCAGTGTGAAAGGAGCTGACCTAAGTGTGCCTTATATAGGTTTACTCATTTCTTTCTCTTCAACAGTTGTTTCAGGAACATACTAATATATTATCTTCACTCTCTAGGTAAGAAGATTGGGACACACAGTAATTTCTCCGAAAGATGTACCACCAGTGAGTGGAGGAACTTTGATTTGAACTCTGGAAATCAGCTGAGGAGCTTCCATTCTTCACCCCAAGGCTGTGCCACCTCTTAACCTGGAGTGTGATAGGTACCCACTTAGGTTTATTGAATGACTCATTGAACTTTGTGACTAACTGTCTCTCATCATTAGCCTTGATTTTATTTACTTTTCTCCATTTAGATGAGAGAATCACTGATTTAGATTTCTTGAATACTACCAAGGATCCTTCCAAAAGCAATACTAATTTAGATTCCTAGTTCATTTGATTTTAATCTACCTTCAATTTTCTGGGTGAGAAATGGCAGATGAACATTTAATAGATTTGTGCTGCATCAAAAGGTATCATCCAAACATTACAATAAAACACAAAGCAAGTTATATTTGTGTACAGTCCCCAAATCCTCTTTCATAATAAAAGATGCATTTACTCTCTACTCTCGCCATCTCTTTTGTGAAAATTTGTCCTGCATAATCACTTTCACTGGTCCATGAGATACAAGTATGATGCTATTAATTATTAAAGTATTTTTTGTAAGAGAATAAGAATACAATGGAATAAAAATCAGAAGACATTATAATTATCCACCAATAGGGGCCAATTAAATAAATTCTGATGTATTTATGGAATTGAAATAATACACAGATGTTAAATGAGGTGTTAATAAACCTTTTGATTTGGAAAAATAATCATGATAATCTGCAAAGTGGGAAAAACACCAAGTTTCAAAAGTATATGTATTATAAAACTTATTTAATATAAAGTTAACCTGTATATATGGGCATATATGTATTATATATTTGCACATAACCTCCCTTTGAATCTTCCAGACCCTGGGTTGAATCTAATGCACATGTGCATATTTTTTTCTGTAGATACACAGATAATAATGTCTTGAAATGATCACAGCCTCCCATATGAGGGCAGTTCAGGAAATGGTAGTCATTGGGTAGAGGCTGCTGCAGCTAGAACCTCACTAGATGTGTGCTCCTCCCTGTGACCATTGCTGGGATTGAACTTGACCTCCTTGTAGAGACTTATTATTGAAGTGTTTCTGCCTGGCCACACCCACAGGACAGGTGTGTCCAAACTTGAAGTCTAAGTACAAAGAGAATAGTGATGTTCCCACTTAGGGTTAGAATTTCAAAGGAAGCTGGGCCATCAGTGTTATGTTAGGTCATGCTATTTTAGGCATTTTCAGAAGAGGTAAATTCTGGGCTCAAAGTGCTGCTCCAAGTTCAGCTATGCCTTTTCACATGAAAAATGTCCCTCAGTTGCCAAACATAGTGCATCTGTTTGATTTTAATGGAGACTGGGAGTTCCTCACAGAGACCAGAATGCTCACTCCTTTGAAATCATTATGATGGTGACTTATGTAGTAGCGGAGCTACTTTGGGGAGTACTTACGCAGTGTAAGTATCTCTTACTGAATTACATTACCTCTCCAGCATATTTGACTCCATCCACTGTGTGCTCAGAACCATACTCATTGGTACTGCCCCAGTGAAAATGGAACTGATTGAGTCTATAGCTGTCAGAGAGAGGACCACCTTTCAGCACTGGAAGAAAAGGGAACTTCTGTTAGTTGGATGATCATAAATGCCAACTTATCTTTGCACTTTTTAATATACCAACACAAATTTTTCTTTAGTAAAATGAAAGCAAACAGCACTGTCAAAGTTTTCATCTGATTTCTAATCCCTTCATCTAGGACAATGGCATGTATATGTATGGTGTATCTCTGATTGTGGCTTGATAAGACAGAGTTCATGAGCTATAGACAATTCCCAGCACATGAGCACAATTTTATCTATTTATACTTCCAAGAAAGTATACTGTGACATGAATGGATTGTATGATTAAGGGCTTTTCTTGAATCTCTAATTTGCAAGTTTATTCATTCCTTCTTTCAACAAAGATGGCATGCGTTGAAGGCTAGAGCAGTTTATTTTGAGTATCAAATTGCTTATCACATACTTTGTATTTAATCATGACACAACCATGCATGCTAGCTTTATTGAGAATCCCTGGCCAGGGACCAAAAGAAAGCACCTGTGAGGCAAGGTTACTTGAAAAACTTTTATATTGAATGGCCTGTCATTTTGGAGAGTCTTTACAATCATAAGTACTTAAGCTCACATGATACCAGACCTAATCTAATATTAATAAAAGACATAGCACCCAATGTACCTTAGGATTGGAACCTCATAGGGAAGTGCTAAAACAAATTTAGCTTTATCATCAGTAGAACTATCTTTGGGAATTGTTACAACTTATTCAACAAACATTTATGAAAAGCTGTCTATGTAGCAGGCAATATGACAGATTTCAGGGTAGGAGGATAACTCAGTTGTTTCCCATCTCTTTTCCCTACTGTGTTCACCCTCATCTCAATTAGAATATGTTTGTCTTTTTAGTTTTATATTCATAATTATTTGTCCCTTAGACTTTTGGGGAAAAAGTAGTTTATACTGAGAGAGTGAAGTGAGCCTAAAGATCCTGGGATGGCCAGAAGCGACAGGATGGTGTCATTGAGGAGGAGAACAACTGCTGGATGTGGTGGTGCATGCTTGTAATCCCAGTAGCTCAGGAGTCTGAGACCGGAGGATTTCAAGTTCAAAGCCAGCCTCAGCAAAGGCAAGATGCTAAACAACTCAGTGAGACCCTGTCTCTAAATAATAACACAAAATATGGCTGGAGATGTGGCTCAGTGGTTGAGTACCCCTGAGTTCAATCCCTGGTACCCCCCACCAAAAATATCTTTACCACTTGGCCATTTTCTAGAAATCCAAAATGCCTCACCAGATAAAAGCAATGTTACACATTTGCACAAAATACTTGGGGTGGCAGTTTGTGTTTCTTAGCACTTTTGTTTCAATTTCCCCAATAGATTCTAAGGAAAAAAATAACAGAATAATTTTAGGGCTCACCTGATTGGTTATCATTGTCATCAAAAGTCACATGGAAGGAGTGTCCCACATTGATAATTTCCTTAGCAGTTGCTGGATTGTAGGAGACACTGATGGGTTTCAGAGAGGTGTCACGTTTGGTTTCGCTGGTCTTGATGTCAATAGGAGACTGGTTATTTCCATTGGCAATGGGATACAGCTTGCTCCATTGCTCAGGACCTACCAGGATGAATATATGTATACAATTAACACTTTATACCGAATGCTTGATTCCAAGTTTGAGGACTCTACCTGTTTGCTTATTATAGTTTATTCAGCTGTCTTAAATGACATTCTGTTAATTGGAAATTCTGTCTTTGGCAGTGTCCCTTTTCTAAATTATACTGTAAAAGTTTGTCAGCATCAGTGATATAGGCTTATACACCTAGTCTATAAGATTAGACTATAAATATCTTACTATAAGCAATAGAGTGCAACAAGCATATATCAAATACCTTTTATAGATAGAGGTACTCTAAAGAACAGCTAAAAGTATTTGCAAAGATATTGTAATTATTCAAAACAGTCAACTCAAACTATTGAGTTGTATATTATTTTAAAAACTTCATACCTCATCTATTAGAAAAAGGAATAACTGTGGCTGTATATTATTTTAAAAACTTCATATCTCATCTATTAGAAAAAGGAATAAGCTCTTATTTTGATTCACAGGAAAAGCAGTACTCTTACCATTTTCGGCATCGTATCCCCAGTCTAAACTTGCCATGGTCTTCTAGTTTTCTTTCTCTGAAAACAAAAATAATACCTGGAATAACCAACTGCAACTGTGCAACTTTCACATGGGGTTTTTATAGAAACTTCTCTGCCCTTATGAGGCCACTATTTCATCATCTCTCTGCTTATCAGGAGGTATATAAAAAAGGTGTTGTAACAAAAATGTCTGCAAAGGTTAGCTCAGCTCTAATTATTTTATTTTACTATGAAAGATATCAAAATTATAGATTTTATTATACCAAGTCCTCTTTCTCTTAGGCTATTCAAAAATATTGTCAAATGAAATTCTTTGTATTTTCCAAATTAAAATTATTTCATGTACTTAAGTTTTCCAATTCCACCCTTGCAATACTAGATACTATAATCTAATAAGAAGATTAGTTTGCATGTTTACAGGGTGAACTGAGCTAGTATCATGAAATTAATTTAGAATTAGATAATGAAATTACTATTTGTAATATATATTATTCATAAAGCCCTTAATTCTGGAGCACTATTGGAATTCATAAATGGAGATTTATTAATACCAAAGTGAAATATTACATATATTTATTTTATATAAAATAAGTCTACTAGGATAAAAGCCTTCTTATTTGTAGTTCCATACAAATTTATACTTCATTTCAAGCTATTTTATTTTACTAACACACTCTATAGAGTAAGAATTACCATTTTGTAGTAGAGAGATGTTCAGAACTTCACTTCAGCTAGCAAGAAGTCAAGACTTCTGCCTCTAGTTAACTTGCCTCCCTCACTGTATCTCTGCGAAATGCCACACTGGTGAGTTATGAGGTGGATGAGCCCCTAATTCTCCTTCTTTGCCCACAATTCTCTTAAGATCAATTGATAACTCACATCTATTGAGGTATAAGAAGGTCCACAGGACTTTTCAGGGAGGCAAAGATAATGGATTAGGATGTGTTGGTCTCTGGCTAGGTCCTTGTTTTTCAAGGCCTAACATGTACTCACTGGGGCTACAACCAGAAAAATAAGCTTCCAAAATAACGAGAGTTACACTTCGTTTCACAAGCTGGAATTGCCTAAGCTGCCTGCAACCCCTGAAGGAAGAGGGGGTCAGGAGCCATTTTTGGCAAGACTGACTAGTTTGCTCCTCTGTCCTGATGGTAGAACTCGGCCTTGTGTGAAGAATGGACAATGGCTCATGAATAATACTGAGTGGGAAGAGGCTAAGCTTCCTTTCTATGGCATTAATAAGCATAGGGGGACATGGCTTAAAAGGGACCTTCTAAAAATTTTAAATTTTAATTTACTAGTAAAAACTGGATATTGCTGTATTTATTCTGATTATAGATGTTTTTATTGCATACAACGTGGTGTTTTGAAGCACACATACATGTGGAATGGTTAAATTTAGCTAATTAACAATTGCATTATCTCACATAGCTATATTTGTGGTGGTAGCATTTAACACCCACTCTGCATTTTTAATAATACAATAAATTGTCGTTAACCATAGCCACCTCACTGTACAATAGATGTCTTGAAATTATTCTTCTATCTAACTGAAATTATGTGTCCTTTGGCCAACCTCTTTAAACTATAAAATTGAATGATTATATTAATCAACATATTTGGAAAAAGACAACCCCCACTTCATTACATGATTACAATATGATTCATCACATGAATGCCTTAACATTCATTTAAAGTTTTAGGTACAAAATTACTTAACTATTATGACCCTTTATTTTATTATATTCTTAGGGTGTGTTTGAGTACTCCCACAAGCATAAAATTAAATAGAGGATGTAAAATTTAATGAGCACCTATAGTTTAATCCCTAACATCCTCCAATTTACCTTGATCCCTCTTTTTTTGCTCAGAGTCTTTTCCTCTCCCAACTTAATATCTACACTAAGTTCAAGATGTTTAATTTTGCATTCATTTCAATTTCATCCATAGACTTCTTCCAGTATGCTTTTCCAGGGTTATAATCTTTGAACTGATATATCAAGAACGTGTTCAATCTACATAGCCTCTGGTCTTCTAAACTGCATATCTCCTAAGGTGATCAAATCCAAAAACATATATGGGAGAAGGTTTTTTGTTTTTATGGATAGACTGTTCTGAATAAATCCATATGCAATTAAAACTTAATCTTGAGCAACAAGGCTGTTTAATATCTATAACTATCTCTAAAATGATACCTCTATGATGGTAGGACCTCGTCTATTTTTTTCACCACTGAATGCTCCTTATCTATAATCTGGCTGGAAAATAGTGGTGCTCAATAAATGTGGAGAGGAGAGTTATATATTATTTTTAACTTCAACTATTTTATTTTTATGAAGACTGGAAGGACAGAATGCTCCTCAGGGACTAAGCCTGCCCAATGCATTGATCTAAACTCAGCAGTGTGTGGCACACTGATGTGTGAGCATGTGAGTGAGCTTTGCTAGAAGTAAACTCATGATCATATTTGGACTAAGGAAAAAGAAAATTTCCCCTCGCTGTTCTATTAATGGGAGAAATGAAGTGACCAACTGTGTTTGTCAGTCATTGCTGGGAGAGTGACAACCTTGGTCCTTGTAAGTGTCAAATTTTTTAACACTTTATAAATGTCAAACTTTAACTCTTCAAATATGGTTTGAATTTTTGACATCTACATTTTAAAAGTTCATAATTCTTAAGGATTTTATTACCATGATTGAAGGAAATTTCCAACCTTGTATTTCTTGTCTGAGAATATTTTATTTTTGAAAACAATTTTCAAATCTGCTGATGAATATTTTTTATTAACAACTAAGTCAACTCTGCTGGATAACCACTTTAATCCATAGCATAGACATAAACATATTCATAGTGTCTTAAATATTCATGCCTCTGAAAACTTTGAATTTTAAATTGTCTAATTCACTGACAAGCTTATTGAAATTACTCGTTGGAAAGATACACTGAGAATATGGGTTTGTCAATTTTTAAGATAATAGTTAGGAATTTCTTCTACTGCACGAGTGGCTAATGTGGATGGGCACATTAAACATACCATCCTCATATTTATCTTTAAAACTGAGAAATATCATTTTTATCTTGTGTTTATAATTAGTTGGGGAGTTAATATGCCCTCCTATAACAATGACAACATTAAGTAGCATTTTTCATTTAAAAAGAAAACAATATAAATGCACAATGCTTTGTAAACCATAAAACACTGCACAAATTTAAGTGGTCAAGTTAGCCTCAAAAAAAAAAAAGTTGATTTTAATTCTCAGGAAAATAGATGATTATATAAAAACAAAACAGTGCAAGGGATTGAATGTGGTCTGAAATTCAAACAATTGCATAACAGATATTTGCTTGTGGCATATTAAACTAAGCTCTGTGTGTTTAGAAAAATTCTTAAGTGTAAAATTTTAAAGGAGGTCAAGGTCAGTCCTGTCAATCATTTTTGTCCTAACTTCTTTCGTGAACCTTTTTGTGGTGTCTATCTAAAATTATATTAACAAATGTTCCAACTCACCTAATAACTTCATTAGCTCCTAAACCTTTTTATCAAAGACTAGATTTCTAAAATACATTCACAATTAAATGTCCTTTTTCAATCTAGTATTTCTTTTTTTTTATTTCTTAATGTATAATTTGCAGATCACCTGCCTCAGATTCGCCTGAGGGTGATACTAAAATTTATGTGTGTGTATCTAACTCAATTTCTTACTTTGGTGAAATGATCTTAGCCAATTTGGGTGGTTAACAAATATCAATCTCTTTTTTTGTAAGTATTGATAGCCTTATTATAGATACCTTGGGGAATATTTGACTCTACCCCCCAAAATCTATTACTGAGAGATATATATTTAAATGAGGGCAAGTCTCTGGCCAAGTTCCTCATCTGGACAGTGTTATTAGCAAACAGGCACATAACTTATCTGAAGTTGCAGGATACTTGCAAGTGACGCTAGCCACTGGGACCCCTCACAACACTGAGGAATGGGACCTCTCTGCATGTGAGGCCTGGGATCTGTGTTTTTTTTTTTTTTTTTTTTTTTTTACCAGGCATTTCCCTGGTGATAGTTGAGAAACACATTTGGGTACTTCTACAACTCCTTTTTAAAGATTCTAAATGACAGCTGATGGACATGCTTTGTCCTTTAGGAAACAGTGAATTAATATTCATTTCAGCAGCCACTTCACAAAATACTCATTCTTGTATTAAATTAGTCTCTTTTCTCATCAGATTTCTTAAGTTTATAATGCATTTAGTAATATCCAGAGAAAAATGATTTTTTTCATTCATTTTTGCCATACCCTTTCAACTATCCAGTCAGTATGTTAAATATGGGCCAGTAGCTTGCTCTGCAGTAGTGTCTGTATCAAAAGTTCAGGTCAGATCCATTATTAAGTAGAGGCAATGCTATTTGGCAGGGGAAATATCCATTTTTGCATGCAGGAGGTTGTCATTTTAATTTGTTCTTATCTGATCCTCCTTCTAGTAGATTTATTTAAAAATAAAAAAGGAGGCAAGTGTGCTATTTGAACTAGTAGTTTGCAGAATGACACCTTATCCAAGGGCAGAGAGAGAAGTATATTATGGAGCTTCTCTTCACTGATCTTAAAATAGTGAACAAAAATACATAATGGACTGAGGTGACATTTACAGTGTTCCTTCAGTCCCAGACTTCTTTTGCTTCACAGCTATTACATTAATATAGAATTCTTTATCTGTCTAGTGCACTTTCTTTCAGCAGTGCTATTTCTTTTGTGTGTCTGTGTGAACTTGGGTTAACTCACCTTGAAGTTTTTTTTTTAAATGAGTATTAGAGATACAGGCAAGCAGCAGATACACTGTAAGAGACTTTATTTTTCCTGGGTGTACTAATCATACAGAAAGCTGTGTGGGCTATGCTTGAGTAGGATGAGGGAGGTAACTGCAGCCAGAGCGAGGAGGACCCAGGGCTCTGCCAGAGCTTCCAAGACTTCAACTGATGGATGAAACCTATTAGCTAATCAACCCTGAAGTCACAGGGCATAATCCTCCCTAGGGATTTTTCTGA